CCAAACAACAGGTCGGGCTCAAATCATAACAAACAACAAACTTAACAGTACTAGATGTTACTGTATACATACCTCGTCCAGCGAGCGGTGCTTATTTTTCCTCACACAAATCGTTTCACTGATGGTGGACGATTATCTAGGCTTCCGGTTGTCGGTATACTCATCTAAACATTCAGGGTAATGCCTGTGGCCATCTGCTGTCGATGGTTGCCTCGTATGCCTATTTGCCTATTATTATTGATCATCTTTCAGGCTGGCGAGCCAGTTCAATTCCTACCCGCGTTCTACTTTCGTTTTCCCATGGAGTTACATGGTTGTAGATCTCCTGGGTTGAGGTTACTATAGACATAGCGACCAAACAAAACAACTAGGAAATGGTTCCCAAATTGAGTAGATTGGTGTATTGGTGAGCATTAAGGTTAAATGTAATAGCTTTTGTATTCTGCTCTTGAGGCATTACCACATAAGTCGTTATATAAATTACCATTTCATCCTTCATGAGTTGATCAGTTTTTTTATAGCAAGTATACCGACAATTCTCATGTTATTTTTACTAAGCCTGGCATATGAAATCACAACGTCTAGTTTGATAATGGAGGTGGAGGCAGTCACTGCTGCCTTCCGTTGGCTTGAGAATCAGCTGTACACACATGTCGTCATTGTAACTGACTCACAGAGCATGCTGAGAAAGGTGGAGACAGGCATGCTCCGTGCAGAGTGGCAAGCATCACTTCAGAGATCCCGGGTAGTTAGCATCCTTTAGATATTTTCTCCAGGCCTCACCGGTGTGTTGCGAAATGAGCAGTCGGATAGACTGGCCGAGTTTGCACCACTTGGTGGTGAACTGATATATGACAAGCTGGATGTTGTGAGGGCCATTTGAGAGCGAGTGAACAGTGCCGAGGAACAGATAGATCATTACGGTCTGAGGAGAATGGCACTGCGAGGAGTTACAAGGGGATCTGGCCGACGCTCGACACTCGGGCTCGGGGGAGGGGCGAGACGGATATACAATCAAACTGTTACTTGTACCATCGGAATTTTAACTCTTCGCTTGCTGCTGAAGATGGGCACGGAGCGCCCATGGGAGTGTCCCGAGTGCTGTGATGCCGATTCCTAATTCAAAATTCAACATTCATGTTATTTTGTTTTCGGAATTAGGCCAGATTTAAACTTAAAAAAAACCCGCATTTTAATTATTTGCATATGGCATGTAAACTCCAGGCAGGCACGATGCCAAGAATAAAACATTTGGGAGAGCTCAGATCCCCCCCCCCCTTTTTTTTTAAACAAATTTTCCTGGCAGTACATTGGGGTGGGCTTAACTCCATTTCTCTATTAGGAAATAAGGGGCTAGGCTACTTACGCCCCTCACACCCCAACAAGGTCTGAGACCCCGTCACCCCCCCCCCTCGCCACCACCCGATAAACTGAGAAAACATTGCGCCCCCACTTATGCCCTTCTCACCACCTTACAAATATTCTAGACAAATAATTTACTGGGTGCCTCAGGTCCTGGGTGACTCTGCCGCCCCCCGCCTCCCCCGAGCATGGGGGTGGGATGTTGAGTGCTTCCTCGTCCCCAGTAATTTTGTAAGGAGCTTAAGCGACCCTCCTTTAAAATGTGTAGAATTAATCTTTTAAAGTCTTTGTTGATACTTAATATATTTCTTTTTACTTGAAACATATAATTATGAGCTGTATGAGTCGCGTTCTTTGTATATTGTGGCGGAATTTTGTCCCCAAGGAATTTATACTCAAAAGAGCCGGAATGCCAGCAGTGTACTTTCTACTGAAGCAAAGACGTCTGCGTTGGTTGGGACATGAACTGGTAGCAGGGATTGTTTGTTTGTTTGTTTCTTTTAGTATCCAGAAGCCATGAGTTATGTTAACCCTTAGGCTCAGTATTATGGATATCGCAACCTTTCGGCCTTGATTCCGTTGTAAATACCGTAAATCTGGGAGAAAAGTGGTTTTCCTGCCTACCCCTGGGATTGAACCCGGACCACAAGGAGTTCGTCACCCGGTCTCCGCGCAATCCGGTTTAGCCAATTACGCTAGAGAGCTGGGCCGAGGAGACAGATATGGATGAACTATCCAGCATATTGAACAACACCATGAACACTGGCATTATCTCTGATGACTGGCTCCATAGTTCCTAAACCTGGAGAAGATCATGCGAGAAACAATGGCTTCAGAATGATCACTCCAGAACATTGTCGGAAAACTCATGGAAAAAACCGTCGCCATAATGTTGACCCAAATTTTGAAGTCAGGTTGTCTATATTCCCCGCTGCACTATGGGGTTAACGACCGGGAAGAGATACATGCTCTAATGCTGCAGTATTTACCTACGACACATATGAGGGTTGCCAGGAGATTGGAAACGGCTGCAGTCGCTACTGACTTAGAAGATGCCGACAGCAGCGTCCCATACGGCAGATTGCGGTTGGATTTGCACATAGAAACAAAATGGGGTTAACTGGATCGCAGCAGCGCTATTCGAAAGAATAGTGTCGCTGCGATGTTGTGTATGGGCATCGAAACCTCAACGCGTCCTAATGGGTCTACCCCAGAGATCACCATAGTCGTCGGTGCTTTTCAATGTGTTTATAGCAAGAGTCAACAGTGCACAAAGCACAGGCCTGGAAAGAACAGTGTTGTAGGCAGATATCCGTGTGTACTGTCGAGGTAGAAACTGGCACGAAATTACAGTCACGCTACAAAATGAACTAGACAGGCCCAGTGAGTGGTGCCAGGAATCGAGAGTACAAGTGAACCCTTCAAAGGCGTCCATAACATAGTTATCTCTGAATACCCACATTGTCAATATATCAACTCTAGTCGTAAGCATGTGTGGTGTGGACATCGAGAGAACGGAGACTATCAAATACCTAGGCATGTAATTTGACTGATGCTTGTCTTACAAGGTTCACGTAGGCAAAGTCATACTAAGAGCTAGGAAATGTCTTACAGCACTCAAGGTGCTAGCAGCAGCCGATGTTGAACAACGCCTACTTTTTCTTCTATATCAAGGGCTTGTGTTAAGCGCCATTTACTATGGTATGGGCCTTCTCACTGTCAGCAGAACCCAGCTTGATAGACTAGACAGAGTACAAAATAAGGCCACGGGACACCTCCTTCCACACGATGCGATATGTTCTGGATTTGCCGACGATGGCTAACAAACACAAAGTTGCACAAGTCATGGCGTACATGAGGGTATCAGCAGACGTTAACAGCCCACTGCACAAAGCTATACACCACACAAAAAGTGGCTGCTCCTGGATGGCCAAGTCTAAAGATTTAATCCAGCAAGTATATGACTTTTACGAGACCAGTTACGGAAAAGAATGGACGAATACACCAGTAGACATGAATGGCATCTCTAATGTTGTCATCACACAGGGAAGGTACAGTAGGGACCAGACTATTGCGGCAGTAAACACAGGGGTAAGGGCTATGACAGATCAGTATTCACACCCAGTAATCATTATCACCTACACAGATGGATACATGAAGCGTGTGTCAAGGTCTGCATGGGCATACACAGCACAAGGGATGGGAAAAACAATAGAAGGAGACAGCCGCACTTACCGGAAAGCTGCGTCAAGCCTAACCATGGAGATAGCCGCTGCCTCTAGAGGACTAGCATGGGCAGCAGAGGAAACAGCCACCTCTACAGTAATTGAACAGTTTAGCATTCAAATGTGCTAAGGGGTAGTAAGATCTGACGTCCGTGTGTATTGTTGCGCATGTCAATCATTCCCGGGAGTCGGAAATCAAAAAGAGTAGCCTAATGGCGCTGCCGGTGCTACATTTGGAGTAAAAATCTACCCAAACTAGTTCAGTATCCTCACCGGTGCTACGGAGTTCGTGCATTGCTCAGAGATTTTTCGGGCTTAAGTTAGAAGTAGAAAGGAGCACTTATGGGTTACACTCTTTGTGCCATGATGTTGATCCATGGTTCAAATTATGAAACCATTGCTCCCCTGCGCTCGACCTTTCCTTCCAGGACTGTTTTTGTTTCCACAAAATACGAAATATTCCTCTGTATATCAATGTTTCAAGAGACTCAATTTGATTTTCTAGTTGCCTGTGCATTGTCACAGTTTCTGCACCGTGCAACAGGGCTGACTATAAATAAACAGAGGGATAACCTTTGACGCCGTTAAATATTATGAATAAATCAAGTAACAGAAAGTGTATTGATCGGCACTCATAGAAAGAAGTAGAAAGATAGAAGAACACACTAGACAACATAATTAACAGTGCTGACTGTACGTTACATTTGACAGTTCTCATATTTAACGTATTGTTGATCTCTCTGGTTGTCAGCAATTTACGCATCTTTTTGTAGATGGTTTTAGTCATTCCTATTCTCACTTTTTTTTTTATTTCTGTTTCACTTCTGCCATCATCTGTTACTGCGTGTCCAAGGTAGTAACAAGTTTTTTCTTCTTTAAATGTGTCCCAGATTACTGTAATGTCCACAGCTGATCGCATTCTTTTTCATGGTTTCGCAAGTGCAGCCAAACCAAAATTATTAACAGCTTCGTCAGTCTGTTACATGTATATTTACACACACACACACCCACACAAAATTAAAGTCTACAAGATCGACTTCGTTGCACCGGGTTATATCATATGGTTCTATTGTTCTCCACAGAACAATAAGCCGCCAGCCGAGATAGTTGCCCAAAACAAGAACTCGGTATCTGTAGCGAGGATCCCCAGAATAAGCATAGTTTGAGAATCACTGCTTTAAAACCATTTCCTGCTATCCGCGCATGTCCAACAATGGACCCATATCCTGGTCGAATCAGAGCCCGACCCCGGCCGCGAGTGCGCATGCGCTTAACTCTGGCCTGATCCTGTGAGAAACGAGAAAAGTGTCGTCTGCTTTTTTAAACAAGCTACAACTCCAGGTCTTCACTTGCCGGCTCCTTTAGGGTTAAATAATACTCTATAATTCATCACTAAAACCTAATTTCACAGTCATGTCTGGTGTTGTGATTCTTTCCGCTGCAAGAACACCCATTGGTAATGAATTCACGTTTGTTTGGTGATATTTAAATTGTGTCTACTCTACTGTTACTGTCTTTAGTTTACTTGTTTGGCTTCTCTGTGTGTGTCTATTGCCCGGCCACCTAGTTCATCGTTATAGGGCGTTGCGAACGCGCTTCGTAATGACAGTGTCGATTTGTCGGGTTCGATCCCAACTGGGACAATTTGTCTTGCGTTGGTTTCAACAGTGGTACCGAGCGCTGGCCGTTCAGTAAGCAGTGGCGAACTACTGAACGTAAAATTGTCCTAGAAAAACCACAACAGCCAAAAAAATTCGCAACTAACTTATTGGCTCTACTGGCAAATTTGGCCGGTAAGCTGGACTGCTTCGGCCGGCTTAGCGGGGCTTCGTGGGAGTTATGTCCCTTGGCCCAACTCAAAACAAGTCGCGGAAAAAGTCACGAATCAAACGGCATACTTACCTATCATCATCCGGGTGCGTGTAGGGTTGCGTGTAGGGCTGCTTATTGCGTGTTGGGTTGGTTGTTTGCGTAAGATAGATGAGGGGTAGGGTTAGGGTTTAGGGTTATGTGTAGCGTTAGATGTGACAATTGTGGCGCTGTAGTTCCCTACAATCGCGCACAGTCGCATGCACACTCAAACAGTCAACGGACGGTGGATGCTACTGACACGGACAATTCGCCGCCACCGATTGGGGCACCAGCCGCCGCGCGCTATTGCCGTCATATTTGGCACACTTCCAGTGTCGCCACTCCCACAAGCATCAGATTGTCGGCCAGTATTTCCACCTCCTACGTGAATATTTTCACATCATCTAACCCTACCCCTACCCCTAACCCTAACCCTACCCCCTAACCCTCCCCCCTAACCCTAACCCTACCCCTAACCCACTCCCCTAACCCTACTGCTAACCCAAACCCTACGCAACCCTACACGCAACTGTATGATGATGATGATAGACACCCTACGCATCCCGGCTCTACTGGCAAATCTGGACGAAGAATAAACAGCCTTGGACGACTTAGTCAGAGTTCTCTCCCGTGGCCGCACTCCAAACAGTGATCGGAAAAGCCACAACGAAACAAAGAAGACAGTCACGTCGACATCAGGGCTGCCAATGCTTGGTTGTTTTCCCCAGATCTGGTTTTTTTTTTTTTCGACGCTGCAGGACAATTCTGGGTGTTTTTTTGGGTGTGTTTTCTTTGTTGGTGTTTGCCGATTTGTATGCTTTAATGATCGATAAATTTGCGTGGTTAGGGGGTAGGGGTTAGGGTTAGGGAGTAGGATTAGGATTAGGGTTAGCGGTAGGGTTAGGTTTAGCGTTAGATTTGACAATTTTGACGCCGGAGTTCCCTATAATCGCGCACAGTCCCATACACACACACAAACAATCGAGGGCCTCTGGATGCTGGTCAAACGCACAATTCGCCAACGATTGGGGGCACCAGCCGCACGCTATTGGCGTCATATTTGGCAGAGTTTCAGTGGCGCCACTCCCACAAACATCATATTGTCGGCCAGTATTTCGAAATCCTACGTCAAAATTTTCACATCTAACCCTAACCCTACCCCTACCCCTAACCCTACCCCTACCCCTAACTTTAATCCAACAACCGCATGATGATGACTACACAACCATTCACAATGCCTCACGCAACCGTACGCAACCTTGCACGCAACCATATGATGATGCCACGATGCCTCACGCAACCGTACGTAGCCCTACACGCAACCGCAGGATGATAGATAAGTGTGTCGTTTGTTTCGTTTGTTTTCCGATCACTGTTTGGAGTGCGGCCAAGGGAGAGAACTCTAAGTCGTCCAAGGCTTTTTATTCTTCGTCCGGATTTGCCAGTAGAGCCCGCATCCCTACACGCAACCGTACGATGATAGGTAACCCTAGACGCCACCCTACGCACCCGGATGATGATAGGTAAGTATGTCATTTGATTCGTGACTTTTTCCGCGACTTGTTTTGAGTTTGGTGAAGTGACATAACTCCCACGAAGCCCCGCTAAGCCGGCCGAAGCAGTCCAGCTTACCGGCCAATTTTGCCAGTAGAGCCAACTTATTATATATATGCCGTTTTACGATGCATCTTTAATTTGTCTACTGTTGTATATATCTCAGCTACAAGAATATATATTTGAAATGATTCCACGTTTGTTCGTAATTTTGTGATTGTTTTAATGTCTTGTCACTGTCCCTGGTCCTGCTTCGCCAGCTTTTTTTTTTTTTTTTTTACTATTTTGAGATTCCTCTTCAAGAACACTTTATGCTTTATGTTTGTTTGTTAACTATTTAACATATGTTAGTTACTTTGTTTGGTAATGGCATTGAATGTGGCTTCTGCCGGCCCCTGCTTGCTGGTTCCTTCATCATAACATTCATTATTTAAAACTTACACTCTTGTGTGTGGGTGTTGGGACGTATACACACACTCACACACACACGTGTGAACATGCTTCATAATTTTAGGATATCTGGTTCGATTCCAGCTCTAGACAGTTTGACAGCAGACCGCTTTTTGATGATTTTGACAATGGTACTGAGCTGACCATTCGGTGAACAATGGCAAACTACTGAACATAAAATTTCGAAGTAAAACCAATGTGCTAGAGTTGGTTCTGCAACATGCTATATATAATTCATAACTAATTTTATATATACATTTAATCCAAGTGAAATGAGCATAGATGGTTACCCAAAAATGTCCTAGGAAATAAATAGTTTTAGCCTGATGACCACGCTAGATATCTGGCACCGATACTGTCAGAATTTGGTCATGCATCTGAAGCACCATTAACACTATACAGTTCCTAAACCACATACCCAGAACTATTATGTCTCACAGCATGAAAGTATCATTTACTTATTTACCTTTCTGTATTCATAGTTTATAATTCCATCACCAATATACTAAGTGAGCTGCAGATTTAATTTTAGACTGCTTTTCAGCTGTGCCAAATTTGTTTTGAACTCATTTTTTAAAATTTATAACCTAATTCCATCTTTCCAAATGATAGTGGTTATATTGTGCTATGGGGTGGCATGGGTATTCTTCATAGTGCAAAGCCTGAGCAGTATTGTAGAGACTGTGTTGGCCATGCATCATGATCCCTCAGACTGCCTGCCTTGTTTACTCCAGAGCACAAAATACATTTAGAACAAAGCATGCTGCAGAAGCTGCCAGATCAGAAGAGCAAAGCTCTGTCCATCTCTCAGAGCTTCCCTCCTATTCCAGCTGCAAACCAAAGCAGAAAGTTGTTTTGTGATATGCAGATTCAGAAAAATGTAAGGGGCTTGTTGTCATAGAACTAGTTAGGAAAGGTCAAGTGGCCTGTTGCCACAGAGCTGGTACTTTGTGAAATTTTTTGTGTTTGCAAATGCTAATTTTTTTTCGTAACTTCTGCTTATGTTGACATTGAACTCCGGATTCAGCAGCAGATTGTGTTGGCACTTCCTGTGGCTGCTTTATGTATTTAATGTATTTATGTGGTATTTTTTCACAAAGAACATCGCTGGGCAGTCTGTATGGTGTTTGTTGGCACAGGAACGAAGCATTTATGTGGTGACCCTTTGCTGCAATTCCTGGTTACTGTAATTGTAAATAATATTTTTTGTAAACCATTTTCAGGATCATTAAATGGATCATTGTCCAACATTCCTGCTCATGATTTGGGGAGCATTGCTATCAAAGAAGCTTTAAACAGGGCAGGGGTTAAAGGAGAAGATGTGTCAGAGGTCATACTGGGTCAGACACTTGTAGCAGGTAAGAAAACTTTTTTTTTATGTTTGTAAAGCTATTTTTATCTTTCCATTTGGTTGTTTTCTTTTTCTTTTTGTTCTGTGTACAAGGAAAAGTTGCATGGTGCCATAGTTTACAGATACAGCTGTTAAACTTTTCTGGACAATCTGTGCCTTTCGGCCCCAAACCTTTGACTTTAGTGTGTTTTTCTGTTAGGATGGGTTTCCTTAGTTTGTAGTCAGCCAAGACCTATCTGTATTGGACAGTGGAGGTTTGTGATTAGAATTCCTTCTCTTGTATAAACTGTTGTCACTCTGTTGACCTGGCGCTTATCTGTTCATGACAGAAAGAGGTTTTACAAAGATGGGAGGCATCTACATCGCACATCACACCTCAGCATGGAGGACCAGGGTGCCTCTCTTTGTTTTCTGCTCTTTGACCTCTCTGGCTTGTGAGGCCCTGCCGGTAGCTATGTTACCATCAGCAGCTTTCTCAGGATCATTGAGAAATTCATGTTCCACCACCTTGGCAAGGTGGAGACACCTCAGGGAAAGTGTTTGTTTTCAAAATTGTCTAGTTTTATATTGGAAGTCAAACAGGCAGATACATTGGCTGGTTCTGCACGACATGGTAATCATTTGATGCCTGACAAGCTTGATGTGGTCAAAGCCTTTTCATCTTCTGCTGCATTCACCCATGAAATTGTGGTTGACTCATGTTGCAGTTTACAGCAAGGCTGCGATATCTGCTCCTTTTGGCTCAGTTCATTCATTTTCAGCAAATCCCTAATTGCTCACTTTTTACAACATGCTTGTTAAGTGGCAGTGGGTTATTTCCTATTTTTTTCTGCACTAAAATTGGGGTCCAGGAACCCACTTGAGGAAAGGACTTTTGTGAGCAAGTGAACAATGCTGAAGAACAACAGATCATCATGATCTTGAGAGAATGGGGCATCAGAGTGACCAGGGAATCTGCCCACACTTGAAACTCATTGGAAAGCAAAGTGGACACTCAAGTTGGATTACCATTGGTTCAGTCAGAATTAGAACTCTCCTTGGCTGCTGAAGATGGGCACACACACATTTGAATTCTTTTTGAAGCAGATTGAAAAAAAAAAATAATAATTCACACTCCCATGTCAGCTGTGTCTAAAATAAATACCATGAAAGGGCCTGGAAAGTAAAAATGTCTGCTGGTGTGTTAACCATAAAAATATGGGCCTGCAACCACTTTGGATTAGATAGGTAATGTAATCAACATCACATTGGCATCCTTTACTTCTTAGGCTATTTCCTGGTTCAGATTGTATGGCTTGGGCAGACTGGGAGTGTCACTTATCTCTTTTAGTACCAGAAGAATGTTTTGTAGGACACACTAATGAAGAAATATTGTGATTAAATTCATCGATGCATTACTTTCAGAACAGTAATATATTATTTGTAGTGACCATTGGACAAGCCAGATTTCTTGATGTTGCATGTGTTTTAACCAAATACAAAAAGTAAGAGAACATATTAAGCAATGGAGTGGTTTCAGCACATTAATTTACACATCATGCATTATTTGGGGCTCAGAGAGTTTGAAAAATATCCACATTGATGTTTTATTAAACCCAAGACCCATCCGTAGATACATTCTTCTGATTTTCTTTGTGTCTGTTTTATATTAGGCCAAGGACAGAACCCAGCTAGACAAGCATCAGTGAAAGCTGGCATCCCCTACCATGTCCCTGCCTGTGGGGTCAGCATGGTTTGTGGTTCAGGACTTAAAGCAGTTGTCCTGGCTTACCAGGCAATCCAGAGTGGAGATGCTTCTATAGTTGTAGCCGGTGGCCAGGAGAATATGAGCAAGGTAAGGGATATTTATTTTTTCTGTTTTGGTTGAGAAGCAACATGGCCAAGTAGTTAGAATGCTGGGCTTTCATACGGTTTCAGTTCCCTGTAAGGGATTTTATTTTTTTCTGTCAGACCAGAATTAAAAATCCTTACCTGCACAGTTAATGAAACATTGCAGAATCAACCCGGAGAAAGGTGTTCATGTGCTGACAACCCCTCCATGCGACGAAAAAAGGCTGTAATCTTCTCACATTGTCTTTCTTTGTCTTTGTTTTTTTTTCCAGATCTATCCAGTGGTCACATGTTCCAGTTTTCTTCTTCTCATAACATGACCAAAATATTATGACTGTTTATTTCTGTTTTTGATAAGTCATCTTCTCACCTATTTCAAAACATCTGAGTTAGGGCTATTCAGCTGGCAGCCCACAGGCTAAATTTGGCCCCGTTCAGTAACTGGCCTGCAGATGATTGCCAGTTGTATGGTATTAGTGATCTTTCTGTACTGAGGCTTGGGTCTCTGAACCATGACAATCCCCCATGTTCAAAATTTGGGCCCCTGAGTAGACTTAGTTGAACAGTCCTGATCTGGGTTGCTCTTCTTGGCTGTCTAAGGTGTTATGAGGATTCCTCTGATAAATCACATCTCCAAGACCTGAAGAAATTGACTTGTCTTTTAATAGTCTAGGCATATGTTAAAATGGCTCCGTACAGATTCTCCCTCTATATAGATTTCTTTTTAGGTTATTCATTTATATCTTTACAGGCTCTCCAATTTTATATTTAAAGATTCTTAAATTATAAACACTCTCCATTTATACCTTTATACATTCTCTGTATATGTCTTTATATATTCTTTAGTTATATCTTTACAGGCTCTTTCTTGCTTCTCTGGTTATATCTTTATAGATTCTCCAGTTAAATCTTTACAGGCTCTCCGTTGATATATTTATACCTTCTTCAGTTATATCTTTACAGGCTCTTTCTTGCTTCTCTGGTTATATCTTTATAGATTCTCCAGTTAAATCTTTACAGGCTCTCCTTTGATATATTTATACCTTCTTCAGTTATATCTTTACAGGCTCTTTCTTGCTTCTCTGGTTATATCTTTATAGATTCCCCAGTTTTATCTTTATACATTCTTTAAGTATATCTTTACAGGCTCTCCGATTTTATCTTTATAGATTCCCCAGTTATATCTTTATAGTAGAGCTGCACCGAATATTCGCGGCCGAATAGTGGACCTATTGACTATTCGGTATTCGGCCGAATATTTGTGGTCGGGCTGAATACGAATAGTGGTTATCTTACACCCGCTTCTGTATACACGGCCTTAATGCTGACAACATGCAATGACTGGTTTTGTTGACAGCTAATGCAGCTTTCCTGCATTATCTAAGCTGTCAGTGACAATTTACAAGTCTAGTTACTTGTTATAATACTTAGGATTCTTTCCTTCCTAGTTATTAGTTACCACAAACTGACTGAAGGATGCAAAACATAAAATGTTTTTAAATGTTTACTATTCTGTACGAATACTAACTATCATGGAAAGAATATAAACTCCGGCCACATCCAAGTCGATATTATGAAAATCAAACGAATGGAAACATATAAGTACTTGGATGCAAACTTCAACTCCTCAAACATGCTGAGAGAAGAAATACAATCTAGAAATAAAGTATGCTATGCCTTTAAACATCTGCTAAAGTCAAAGTGTCTGTCTCCCAATACCAAGATAAAAATATATAAAACATTGATAAGACCAGTTGATGTATATGGCTCTGAAATTTGAAGCAGAAAATAAAAGATGAGGCCTTATTACAGGTTTTCAAAAACAGTCTTACGACAAATCTTTGGACCCATCAAAGATGCAAACAGCGGGAAATGGAGAGTGAGAAGCAACAACGTAACACATAATCTGTTTAAATCACCATTGATCACTGACATCATGAGAGCTAACAGGCTGAAATGGTTGGGGCATATTTGATGACAGAGAAGTAAAACTGTATACACCTGAGAAAGAAATAGGCATAGACCGCGAGGCAGACAAAAAAAGAAGCGAGAGATAATGTCCAGCCAGACCTGCAAACAACTGGTGTCACAAATTGTGAAGATAAGGCCAGCCAGAGATATGAATGGAGATAAGTGATGTCTGCAGCAGTAAACCTTAAGGGCTCAGAATGCTAAAGAAGAAGATGACTATTCTGTGCTACTTTATGTGAAGTAAAAGTTCAGCGTACATTTGACATTATGAATGTATTTTTATTTTTAAGATATAATTTATACACTATACACTATTCGTATTCGGCCGAATAGTTGAAAAATAGTGAAAATCACTATTCGGTACAGCCCTACTTTATAGATTCTTCAGTTGTATCTATGATTGTCTAGTTATATCTTTATAGATTTTCTAGTTATATCTTCACAGGCACATTTTCCCTGGCTGCTGAAGATGATGAATAGAATGCTGTTGGTAACATAGTGCTGTAACTTATTTCACTTCCAACTCGGCCTTTCTTAGCATTCATATGTTTGTAATATTTTAGCAGCAATTTATTAACAGCCATTGCACTTTACAGGCTCCACATTGTATTCACATCCGAGGGGGAACCAAGTTTGGAAATGCTCAGCTCACTGATACTATGTTGCATGATGGACTTACTTGTGCCTTTGATTCTTGTCACATGGGAGTTTCAGGTAGGAGATACATCAGTGTAAGTGTGAAACACTTGTCAGTATTTTTAGTAATATAAAAATAGCAGGGAAATTTAGAGAGAATGGCAGATAACTGAGAAAAACACATATGAGCTGACAAAAATGTGTGTGTCTACCACACATGCATCTACACACATACACACACACGTACACACTCAAAAGAGCTGAGCTAAGTGGGTGTAGACCAGAAGGTAGACCAAGATTGTAGCAAAGAGGTAATACACAGGCAGACCTACAAGCTCTTGGAGTCACTAACTGGAAAGAGCAGGCTAATCAGAGATGAATGGAGACTGGTGATATCTGCAGCAGTGAACCTCCGGGGCTCGGAAAACTGAGAGATGGGATTGTTTTCCATTGAGGGCGAACATAAATTCCTACACAGTTCATAGTGATTGTTCTAGCCATGTGGCTAAATTGACCAGCCTGGTTAGACTCTTGAAAACATATGATGGCCATGCAGTACTCTCTTCCCAGCAGTCTTCATAAAATGCTTACAACGTTGACAGGGCCATCTGGAGAAGTGTGTGCAGTCCCAAATAGACTAATTTGATGGGGATTAGGGTTTCAGATCTCCAGGTGAATACTTGTATTTTCTTCAGCCATAGATTGGATTACTGTCAAACAGACTGTTGGAGCAACATGCGTCAAATTCATTGAGAAGCAGACACTTAAATGGTTCAGTCATCTTGTTAGAATGCAACCATAACAGCGGCTGACACAGGCACAAAGCCTAAATAGATCTAATGTGAAAGCAAAAGGGTGACCAAAGAGAACATAGATTGATGATATTAAAGACATTCTTTTGTGACTCAGAATGACAGTATCCAGTGCTGCCAATCGAGCAATAGATCACAAGCTTTTCCATCTCATGAGACAAAAGTGGAAATTAATGTCGATAATGATGACACGTTAAATAGTTTCTGAATAGACCTTATTTGTAGACATCATGTTTGATTTAAAAAAAAATATTATATTGAATTCACCAGTGGAAAATGTTGCTAAACAGTGGAATGTGTCCAGGGAGGAGCAGGATCTCTTTGCCTTGAGGTCTCAAGAAAAATGTGAGCAGGCACAGAAAAATGGCAACTTTGATGCAGAAATTGTTCCTGTGGTTGTACAGTCAAGAGCAGGTGAGTCAAGTGACAGTGTCTTTTATGTTGGCTCACCTGGTGAATTTTGTCTGTACTGACTGACTTAAGGGTCAAGATAGGGGACATAGCCAACTTTGTATTGGCCAACTTTGGGGAAGGGGGGGGGGGGCGGGCAGTTAGCAGAGGTATCTTCTTGGAATGGTGGCTGCCTTTGAGGACTAAGCATATCTGGAAATAGCCCGTGTGCACTAATGTCGACTCTGATAAACAAAACACACACCTGATAATTGTCTAAAGAATATAGCCTTCCATTGTACATGTAATGTATGTAGTGGCAAATAAGGTACTAGTACAGTTAACACCATTTTTGAAAATTCATGTTCTTCATGTTTTTCTTGCCCTTGTTCTGTTTTCTCTTGTTGTTGTTGTTTTTGTTGTTCTTCTTCTTCTTCTCCTCCTCCTCCTTCCAAATCGCCTGCAGCTGGGATGGAACCTGGCATGAAGCATGTTAGCAATGCCTAAGCCACAGACGCCAATTTTTTGTGTGTCTTTCAATAAATAGAATTCTATTTTTGCCCTTATTATGCAGGGATAGCTGCAAGAGTATTGATAGATAAAATATGAAGAAGATAGAAGAAGACGGACTGAAACCTGCAGACTAAGAGAGAAGTGGTTTGTCCACCTGACAAAATTTCCCTGATAGCAACTACTACAGAGAACCATGTAAAGATGTATAATAAACACAAGGCAAGGCGAGTACTGCACAAGCTTGAGCATTAGCATCAAGAAAAACTTTAGAGAAATAAGAACTAACTTATACAGGGCCATCTTATACATAGAGAACACAGGAGAACTTCTGTGATCTTTCTGTGAGAAAACTTATATCAGGAGACTGGTAGCCTTGATGAAAGCTGTTATGCAGTCCAGATCTGTGTACCATAAAACTTTGTCTTGATTGAGGTTTTCACAGACCAGATTACCTCACTGTTAGCAGAGTAAAGTGTTGCAGAAAATGCTCAGCATTTAATGCTCAGCATTTTCTGGTGCCAAGTTGCAGGAACACATCTCTGTTTCCTGCACCACACATCTTTAACATATGTTGATGAAGTCTGTTGTGCCCTATCCTTAATCTGAAAATATTATGTTGCCCCTTAGAAGATCTATGATCCACCACAGAATATATTAACCCCCCCCCCCCCACCCCCACCCCTTTCAGAAGATCTTTAACCCTACTCCAAAACTTCACTGACTTCACTGGAAGAATAGAATGGCATTGTTGTCTTACTAAAATTAGTTTTTTTTTTTTTTTGACTCATGAGGAAAATTACTTTTTGCGGGAGATAAGGGTTTTAGAAAAATCAGTGTTGTGACTTTTAAAAAGCTAAATATACTTCTTATAGCTCATGCTGTGTAGCGTTTGTCATCGTGTGTGTTTACAATCCTCTGTGTCATTGGTTTCATTCATTTGGTGTAGTTATTCCTTTATGCTGTTCAGTATTTTCTCTGTGCCATGATGCTAAACTGTTCAACATTTTCTGTATCATAACACCAAACTGTTCAACATTTTCTGTATCATAACACCAAACTGTTCAACATTTTCTGTATTATGACACCAAACTATTACACATTTTCTGCATCATGACACCAAACTGTTCAACATTTTCTGTATCATGACACCAAACTGTTCAACATTTTCTGTATCATTACACCAAACTGTTCAACATTTTCTGTATCATTACACCAAACTGTTCAACATTTTCTGTATCATTACACCAAACTGTTCAACATTTTCTCTGTGTTATTTTATTTACTTTCAATCATACCTGATATTTACTCCTGCACACCACGGTGCCAAACTGTTCAGAATTTTCTGTGGCACTGCCACTCAATATCTGATAGTTATTCCTCCATGCCATGATGTCAGACTGTTGATCATTTTCTCTGTGTCATCAGCTGCCAGTCAGTTATTCCATCATAATGTGATGCTAGACATGTGGTGTTAATTGAAAAACTCAGTATGAAGCTGAAGAAATTGAAGCATTCTGAGAAATACTAAGCTGAATTATGTCAATAATGAATTTAGAGGACCCGTCACATGCAAATAGTGCTTCATCATTATTTGTATAGTCTATTTGATACTCGATGAGTGATGTTCTCAGCATCATTCAAAACTTTACCTCCCAGGACATTTCTTGGTGCTCATTTTAAGCCCTTGTATCCTATGTAGATTCAAACCAAAACCTTCACGCTGACATGCAGACATCTAGCTATGTTCTGGAGCTATGAAGTCTCATGCCTTGTGAGAAGTTTAAACAGAAGAAGATCAGCTACTCTGCAGAGAGAGACTAAGCTGAAATAAAATCCAGTGCAATGAAGTCATGTATTTGCCTTTAAACACCTTTAACATTCTCTTTCCAGGAGCTACAGAAGTGAAAAAAGATGAATTTCCCAGATCAGGTTGTAAAATAGAGGGTTTTCAAAAACTGAAGCCAGCTTTTCTTACCGATGGGACAGGAACAGTAACTGCAGGAAATGCCTCAGGTAAAACTTACTTTAAACAGGTTTTTAGAAATTACTTGTATGTTAATTTAAAAAAAAAAATTTTGAGACATAAGTATGAAAGAAATCAGATGGTGGGGTAGGGGTCTCATACATCAGTGAAGAAGTGAGACATGAATGTATGAGGATGAATTATGTAATTGTGTATCACATTGCCTTTTTTGATTTTATGCTGCACTTATAACTTTTATATACTCGTTTAACTTCACTTAGTTGATTCTTTTCTGCCCTGGAGTGTAGAGGTTTGCTAAAGAGATTGCCATACTTTTCTGTCAGCAGTTTTCTTCTTGACTTTGCTCCATTTAAGTCAAGGACTGTCGATTGTTGTCTTCCCAGTGAACTAGGTGTCTTTGAAGTCTGGTTCCCTGGTTCTTGCTTCCCATGCCTGCCGTGGTGGTTGATTCTCTCCCATTCTGCATACATGTCCAGATGATCCTAACTGACCAATCCACTAAAGTTTAGAAGGCTTGGATTTTAAGATCATGACGAATTGTCTGGTTGCAAATTTTTTACCTCCTTGTCAATTGGACCACATTTCTTGGATACCTCATTTCTTAGACCTGAAGCTGGCTTCTGTGAGCTGTTGTCATTGCCCATGATTCTCACCTATAGGTCAGGATTGGCACATATGTAGCATTAGGTACAGTCATTTCTTCCTCTTGCCAACTTCTCTTTTGCTGAGAAACCCTCAGTTTATGGTCAGAAAATTATCCCAGCTGCTGCTTTACTTTTATGAACTTACATTGCTTTACTGATGTCAGATTACTCACTTTTATGTAATCAGAGGTCATATTTCTCACCTCTAATGTGTTTCAGGAATCAATGATGGGGCTGCAGCTCTAGTCATCTCTAGTCAAGCGATAGCAGATGCCAAGGGTTTAAATCCTTTAGCACGTATTGTTTCATGGGCACAGGCCGGTGTTGAACCTTCTCTGTTTGGAGTTGGCCCTATTTCTGCCACCAGGAAAGCTGTAAGTTATAGCATGTTCATAATCAGCTAATTATCATCATAGTCATACTATCGTGCTATTTGTGTGTTGCAGAGCTGCAGATGTCCTGGGTTGTTACTGTTCTTTGGATATTTTCTCCAGGGTTTACCAGTGTGTTGGGAAATGAACAGGCAGATTGGCTGGTTCTGTAACACTTAGAATAGATTGATGAATGTCAGGCTTGATGTTATAAGGGAGCGAGTAAACGGTGCAGAGGCACAAATAGATCATCATGGTCTGGAGAGAATGATGTAGCAAGGAGAAACCAAGGGATCTGACCCATGTTTAACACTTAGAAAAGGGAGTGAGATGGACATACAATCAGACTGTTACTATCAGAATTGGAACTGTGCTTGCTGCTGAAGATTAGAATGGAGCGCTTATGGGAATTTTCCGAGTGCTGTAACGTGAGTTCTTAATTCATAACTCATATGGCACAAAATGCTCGCTTCTGATTCCTCCATTTGTCTATTCTGCAAAATGCTAATATAAAATACAAAAAGTATAGGGCCCTTTGCATGCTAGGGTTTCAATGGTGAACTGGTTAAATAATTTTCCTTGAGCTTGTAGTTTTGTAGGTTAGATTTTCACCCTGCCCTTCAGTTTGTGACCCCTCCAAGACTGTCCCAAATGCAGCAAGCATATCAAGGCAAAACTTTTGGCCGAGAGAAACATCGGTGCAAGTCAAACTTTACTGGTCACTGAGTGAATTACAAAAGACAGCGAAGTTCATACTAGAGACAACATTGCAGATATAGATAATCTGTTTCAAGCAAACTAAAGAAGAAGATGAAGAGGAAGCAGTTTGCGAATCAGATATTTTAGATATAGGACTAGGAAGTTCTAGTCTAATACACCTCTCTTGCTGATGACCAAGCACTCTGTTGAGAGATAGGCCAAGCCATGTAAGATGAAACTGGCACAGTCATTCTCCTGCATTTTTAATTTAATTTAGTATGAAAAGAAAGGGGTATAAAAGGTCCTTTTTTAATGATGTATTCTTTAAGTGTGTCAGCCCCAAATCTGTATAGACCAGACAGCACCTGTTGTATGATGTGGTCACTCTGGTAATGTGATAATATGGTAATCTTAGTTTCAGTTTCATAACAAATGAATCACCCCATAGTTGCTTCCCTCCTTTGTCAACAAAACACACACAGAATGTCCATCACTGTCCCTTGTGGACAAATTGACACAGGCTGCAGTTTCAGCATTTCCACCATTATACATACGCATTAAAAGCTTAAAGAAGCCATAAGTGCTAACCCAAACAGTGCGACATTATAAATGCAGTTCATCATCGGCAGAAGCAGCAGTTGAAAACAGATCAGCAGTTGCACAATTTTAATCCCATAAGGCAATACCAATTCTGTGGCAATAGGCCACATGCCATATTTTTAATCTGCAGTTCACAACACCACATCGGACACTCACAGTGTCGCTTCATGCACTCAGCTTAATAGCTGTGTAACAAAACTATATTTTTGCAGTCTAAAAACGGAGGAAAATGCAATGGCCACTTTCTGTCAGTAGCAAAAAAATTGCTACAACTAAAAACAATGACTGTCTGTTGTCAATTTTGACCAGAAGCTCAAAAACACAGCGGCTGCTTTTGCTTTCTGGGAAATGTTCTGGTACTTATTTTAGGTAGGATCTGCATCAAGGCATATTTGTCATAAATGACCTAATTCCCAGGTCAGCTTGGCCAAAAAATGGGTATAATGAAATGTCCTGGAAAGTAAAGGTGGCTAAAATGGTGTTGACAGCATCAGCCATTGTGTATGATTATTCTGTAAAAATACTGGGCTAGCACAATATGCCTGATGCACAAATGGCATAAGAAGGGGTTTTACTGGCTAGAACAGAATGGGATTACTGACTACAATAGAGTGAAAGTTATGTAACAACAGCTAGCTAGAACAAAATGGGTTTACTCACTACAGAGTGTATGTTATGTAACAGCTGGCTGGAACAGGATGGGTTTACTCACTATTTAGAGTGGATGTTTTGTAACAGCTGGCTTGTGGGTTTTATGTAATAGCTGGCTAAACAGAATTGGTTTACTCACTAAAGTAGAGTGGATGCCATGTTACAGCTTGCTAGAACATAGTGGGTTTACTCACTACAACAGAGTGGATGTCATGTTACAACTGTCTAGAACATAGTGGGTTTACTCACTACAACAGAGTGGATGTCATGTTACAACTGTCTAGAACATAGTGGGTTTACTCACTACAACAGAGTGGCTGTCATGTTACAGCCGGCTAGTACAGAATGAGTCCACTGAATACAGTAGAGTTCATAGAGGTGTCAGTCACCACAAAGCCCAGACAAACCATAATAGCATTGTCTGGAATGATCAGACTGTGTCACATTTCTGAAATTTCCTCAGGAGAAGGCAGAAGCAAAATTCCTGGGGCAGATTTTTGGTATAAATGTCAAACCTGTTGAAGAGCTTTACCAGGTCCAAGAAGCAAAAAAGAGGTGGAGGAAAAAGAAGAGAGACAAAATACATTTTAAGTTCCTGAAGTTTTATTGGAAGGGGACTGTTCTTTCAAACAGTAACATCTCCTCCCCACTATTTAGTACCAGTTTAGTAGGCACTCGACTCTTCTCATAAAAGTAAAGTGAGGTTACATTTGTATTTATTTTATCTGATTGCTTTTGAATTTATGTATTAAAATATTGTGCAGTATATAGATTATTGTATACAACTCAATCAGTGCATATATGTCAGTACCAAATGATCTTTCTTCTCCAATGGAACAGATCAAATCATTCTTCCTTTATTTCCTCTAGGTAAATTCTTTTGGGTATATGTATTGTTTGGTATGAATCCAAGGATCAGGAACAGATTCAGTGCATATACCGAGGTACCACTTAACTTGTTTTGCCCTCTTAGAATTATTTTTTTTTGGATCTTTGTTTTCCCTTGTTACAAGTATTTATATTTGTTAAACTGACCAAACAGTTGGAGAAGGCAGCCTGGCAGGTGGATGACGTGGACTTGTTTGAGCTGAATGAAGCTTTCGCTGCACAGTCTATAGCAATTATTAAGGATCTTGGCTGTTGCCCTGATAAGGTGAGTTTGTTTCAGTCTTCTCTGTACACCTTTAGATGTGTAGAACTAGAATAGACCTACTGCCTTCCTAACAAGCATGTCGTGAGACTCAGCTAATTAGAAGTTTTTTTTTCAAGTTGGAATGCAATCTGGCTAAGAGGCAAGGAACTAAAAGTCTGCATACATACATCTGCATATCGTACTAGATAAGCCAGATGTGCATGCAAAACTCAAAAGTTTTAGAACAAGACTAAAGTCTAGAAGTGGATGAAGAACCAGAGCTTTCTGCCAGAGTTTACAGCCAGTGAATGCGAAAGAGAATAATAATGGCAAAAATATTTTTGTTTTTGTAAAGGATTTCATGGATCTATTAGATTTCTTCACCAAATAGGCAATCACTGCTATAGACAATTTCACACAAGATGGGGCGTGTGGTGGACATCACGCTTACTGCCTTTGTAAGTTGGCCAGGAAGTCTTATGTCAGTTATAACACAAATATGCAGGATGCTGATTCCTTCTGATGTTAACTTCAGTATGTTTACAGAAAGCAGCAGGCAAATTGAGGTTGTTGGCCTCTTGTCTTGAAATTCCTGGTATGGGTTCTGTAGCCCCATATATGTGCGGAAAAAAGTATTTTTTTTTGCATTTTCCTTCACATATAAGTACATGCTATTTGTGGGTTTTTTTTGTAGACTCCTTTCTTCACACAGTTCTTGCTGTTTGTATTATAGTGTCTGTTTTCCACATGCACTGCGTATTTGCTGTTTAAATGTACATGTAGACTCTGTTTTCCCCTTTCCACACACTAAAAATTTGCTGCTTGTTTTGTTCTAGTTGTTTTCCACACATACTGAGTGCTTAATGTTTTTGTGTATTGTACTCTCTGTTTTTCTCACATACCAAGTATTTGCAGTTAACGTGTACTTGTACTCTCTGTTTACCTCATGTACAGATTACCCTCTATTCATGTGTAATAGTGCGATCCGTTTTTCTCACATACTATTTTCTGTTTATCTGTGCTTGTTCTCTCCCTATTCCTCACCGGTTACTTTCTGTTTATGTGTACTTGTGCAGTTCCTTTTCCTCACATACAATTTGCTGTTTATGTGTACTTGTTCTCTCCATATTCCTCACCGGTTACTTTCTGTTTATGTGTACTTGTGCAGTTCCTTTTCCTCACATACTATTTGCTGTTTATGTGTGCTTGTTCTCTCCGTGTTCTAACCGATTACTTTATTTTTATGTGTACTTGTGCAGTCCCTTTTCCTCACATACTATTTGCTGTTTATGTGTGCTTGTTCCCTCCGTATTCCTCACCGATTACTTTCTATTAATGTGTATTTGTGCAGTCCCTTTTCCTCACATACTATTTGCTGTTTATGTGTGCTTGTTCTCTCCATATTCTTCACTGATTACTTTCTATTTATGTGTACTTGTGCAGTCCCTTTTCCTCACAATTTGCTGTTTATGTGAGCTAGTTCTCTCCATATTTCTCACCGGTTACTTTCTATTTATGTGTACTTGTGCAGTTCCTTTTCCTCACATACTATTTGCTGTTTATGTGTGCTTGTTCTCTCCATATTCTTCACCGATTACTTTCTATTTATGTTTACTTATGCAGTCCCTTTTCCTCACATACTATTTGCTGTTTATGTGCAGTTGTTCTGTGTATGTTCATGTCCACACTGTAAGTCTTTGTTATTTGTTAGTATTTATTCTTACTTTACCCCCCCCCCCCCCCTTTTTCCCCACTTTGTTTATGTGTCCCCATCTCTAAGTCCTTACTGTTTGTGTATACTGGTTCTGTCTGTTCCCGCCACATACTGTCCTTAATTTTTATATATATTTGTCCTTTTTCACCGCTTACTAAGTCCATGCTGCTTGTACACAGGTCAATGTAAATGGAGGAGCCATTGCATTGGGTCACCCTATAGGAGCATCAGGCGCCAGAGTGCTGACAACTTTACTGTATGCCCTGAAAGCCCACAACAAGAGACGCGGTCTGGCCACTTTGTGTGTGGGGGGTGGCATGGGTATAGCCATTTGTGTGGAAAACCTGCAGGCTAGCTAGTTAATGCAAACAAAGCATGCTAGCTTTTGATGTTTGTTCTTGACTGAAAGTGTACATTTTATGTTCTTTACCTTATGTGCCAGAAGGTATATGCATTTAGACATGGATATTTCAACAGTGGATAAGGTTTTTTAGCAGTGGATGGAAGTTTTCTATGGTGGATGAGTGATACATTTTTCTATATTATTTTTTTTTTTACAAGAGAATTACTTTCAAAAGGGCACTTGCATACAAATGAGTCAGATCTGTAAAACAGATCATGTGCACCACTCAAGTTCTGGAACAGGGCTGCAGTCCGAAAGTGGGTGAAGAACCAGAACTTTCCGCCAGAGTTTACAGCTGGTGAACATGATAAAGATAAAGAAAAAAAGGCAGTATAACTTCAGCAGTGACCATTGGAGAAGTCAGATTTCTCAAGTATGTCTTTTACTAAATATAAAAAGTAAGAGGACACCTCAAGCTAAAGAAAGGATTTAGCTATTAAAGTGATTCACACCCATGTATTTTTTAGCTAATGGCTTGTGAATTTGTGGATACACACATACACACCGACCTACAAAGGGTCATGATACAACTCATAACATACACGTGGCTAGAATGTTTTGCAGAGGCATTGTTATACCTTTGCAAGAGGGGAGGGGGGGGGAATAAGGAGCTCCATGGTGAGCAGTCATACCATTTGCCTAACATTGTGACAACAATAAGTTCATTTTTGGATGACATCCTTCAGTTCACACATTCATCATTGAAGACTACTGCTAGAGCTACAGAGTCCATTCTTTGTTTAGCTCTTCAGGCAGGTGACCGACCACATTGCAGAAAGAGGCAAGAGCCAAGCATTCCTAACACCCAGTGCAGTGAAGTTATGTCACTCACTTGTAGCCATAATTTTGTTTCTATGTAAATATTATTATGGGACCATTACTATAATTTGTTACTGACCAGACCATCCACTGTAGATATCTGCTTTTTTTCCAACCTGATATTTCCGCTTGTAGGCTCTGAGGCCCCATTTTGGGTTTTAGAAAAAGAAATGAGATCCACTGCCACCTTAACAAGCATGGCATAAAAAGTAACTAATTTAAATGTTTGCTGAAATTGTATGTGTTGAGAGAAAGGCAAAGAGTTTGGAGAAATGAATAGATGCCACAGCCTAGCTGTAAACTACAACACCACATGCCAGCAACTTTTCATTGCGAATGCAGAAGAATAAGAAGAAGAAAACCTAGAGGGCAGTTGCTGATGTCCTTATGAGGCAATGATGATGATGATAACAGAATCATAGGTGCAGTACATTTGAAGGGGCCAAAGACACAGCACATTGTAAGAAACAAATTTGTTGTTAGAGTGTTTTGGCAGTGTCTAACTCTGCATAATGGACATGTTTGTGGTTTACAATTACGCTGCGATATCTATATTTTTTGCTCGAATACATTGAATTTTAGCAAACTCTTAATTAGTCGCCTTTTACGATGAAGTAGAATTGTTATACACAACACTCCTGAGTCAGATGTATGTCATCTAAACAATTATTAAATACAACACTCCTCATTCATATGTATGTCATCTTGCAACTTTAATGAAATAGAAATGTACTGTACAACACTCCAGAGTGATGTGTAAGCTGTTTCATAATTTTAGTGAAGCAAAAATGTGTACAAGACTCCTGAGTGGCATGTGAACTTTCCTATAACTTTCATGCGAAATAGAATTCTTTTATACATATGGCATGAGTCAAATATAAGCTCCTTACATCTGTAATGAAATAGACTTTTTCACCTTCTGCTACTGTGTCTCCTTTAATTGTCTTCACCCTGACGGTTGACACATTATGTTGTAGATGCTTTACGCCTTGTTTATTGGATGACTGAGGAAGTAGAATTGTTTTATGCAACACTTGATTCATAGGCAAGCTGTTTTATGACTTTAGTGAAGTATAATTTTTATATACAGCACTCTTATAACACTTAAGGCAAATTCAGGCTGCTTTATGACTGAAATTAATTAGAATTATTGTACACAACCAACACTGTTAGGGCAAGTGTTTTGTGTTTTTGATGAAATAGAATTGAAACAACTCTCTTAAGATAAATACAAACTGTTTTGTTACTTTAATAAAGTAGAATTGTTTTATACTACACTCTTGAGGCACATGCCAGCTGTTTTGTGTCTTTAGTTGAGTAGAATGTTTGTACACAACACTGCAGAACTTACATGAAGCACAAATTGCAAGCCAGTATGATTAATGTAACTGTTTGTCTGTGCATGTTCGATAAAACACCTAAAGAACAAAGAAGTATCGGGTCAGTCTTGAATTGTGGTTTTGCTGTGAGATGTTTGTCAGACGACTGGGCTGCTTGATAGTTTGGCTTTGTATGTTGAAGAATGGATTCATTTCTCTACAGATAATTTATCTTTGAAGCTTAGCTGGTTGCATTGTTGACTACTTGATAAAGACTGGGTTATCTTCCCAACATGTTATAATAGTTGGTTGCAAGTTTGTCTGTGTGTTAAATGTAGGTTACTCTTTCTTTCTGTACATAACTTTGCTGATTCTTAAAATTTTGATTTGAGATGAAGTCTGGCTTAGTCTTTCGAAAGATGGCTTTAAAATAAAAAATATGGCCCGGGAAGGGGTGGGGGGGTGGGGGGTGGGGGGGGGGGGGGGGGTCTTGTGTATGTATTAAAGAGTAGTTTAAACAATTCAGATAGTCAGACAGATGGTTTGGAAGTTTGGTTGTATGTGTGTGTGTGTTTATAAAGAGTTGGTTAACCACTGGTGTCACCTGTTGTTTTAAGAGACAGATAACAATGATATATTGGACACATGAGGTGCTGCAGATAAAGAATCACAAAACAGACACTGAGACAGAAAGAAAAAAATCTGGAACGAAGAAGTTAATGTGAAACCCTGTTTCCAAAATTAATGATAGAGACCAGGATTGTCTGAATAGATTCAGTATATGATATTGACAGAACTATAGGTTTTAGGATGGAACAGAGAAACTGCCTGTGTCCTTTGTGATATCTACAGGGTGCATGAGAATGGTAATGGTAGCTTAGTTGCTACCATGCCTGCCTGTCATCCATGTAGTTATAAGTATGAATTGTTTTTAAAAATGTTACTGGACTCGCCAGTTCTGCACAGCCTAAACATTGTTACCAGTGAATGCATGTATTCTAAATTAAAGACAACCAGTTGAGACAGACTGGGAACAAAACTGGAAGAGGTCCTGTGAGAAATGAAATGATTAGAAGGACTATTAGAATAATACCCATAATTAAATAAACTGAGAAAAAAGACGAATGGTTAGGCCACCTATTTAGAATGAATCCAAGAACAGCGCACTGAGAGTGTACAATACAAAAATTGGAGTACCAAGAGGTCGAGGAAGACCTAGAAAAACATGGATCAAAGGAGTCACTGATGGCATAAGATATACCCAGCAGCACAACACATACCAAGCAGCCAAACATGCCCTAGCTCAGCTGTCATCTATTAAATGTTGACGTCTGGCGGCACAAATAAGTTAACACAAAAAAGAAAGGCTGTTGTCATGATACGGAGTACTGTTTTCTTCCTAGTACAATGGTTCCCAATTGGTGATCCACCAACCATCTTCTGCGGAACAAATGTAGGGCATTCTTGATATTATTTGTAGGAAAAACAAACTCTTTTTTTTTTTTTAACGATTTTTACTATAGAAGTACTTTTTTCTTCTTCTTCTTTCTTTTATGTAGAAAAAAGAAATTACACATCATCATCATCAGGTGCCTTGCCGACTGTCGTGAGTGATCATGCCTCTCCACAATCCATGATCTCCTGCAGCATTTGTCAGTTTGTGTGCTGACACACCTCTATGCCATGCAACAAGACTGTCAAGAATCTTCAATCGTTGTCTTCCTCTGTCCCTCCTTCCACAGATTTTTCCAGTGGTCACAACATGTTCCATTTCCCTCTTCTTATAACATGGCCAAAAAATGATGATTGTCTCCTTCTGATGTCTGTGATAAGTTGTCTTCGGGCCCCCGCCTCTTTTAAAACCTCTTGGCTGCTCTTTCTGGCTGTCCAAGGTATTTTAAGCATTCTTCTGTAAAAACCACATCTCTGAGGCCTCAAGAAATTGTTTGGCCTGGCTACCGATTGTCCAGGACTCACAGCCATGTGTTAAAACTGCGTGTATTTAGAAAGCAAGAATTCTTTTTCTAACTCTCAATGACAGGGATATATTGCATAAGATGTTTTTCATTTTGTAAAATGCAGTTTTTGCCTGTCCTATTCTGTTTCTTATCTCAGTAATGTATCTTTCATGTTATCCATGTGCCCAGATATTTAAATTACATACATATCTTCAAAAAGAGAAGGGGCTGCCGCTCAAATCTAGTTGGGAACCACTGTTCTAGAACAGGTAATGGTACAGCGAAGAAGAAATGTAGCATCTAAGTTTCAAGTTTGCATTAGTGGCACTGTGATTTTGATCTCAGATGGGAGGAAAGTCAAGGCCGCTATGATGTGTTTAAGGAGATCCTCCTACCTCGAACGCCAGCAGGCTCTGTACTGATTTTACGAATCATCATGTAGGACTCATGTCACACGCTGCCATTGTGCGTTATGGTGTACGATTCCACATCTTGAAGTGGGGTCCATTAAGAGAAAGCACATTACTTTTAGCCTGATTTATTCTCATTATCTTTGCCTTTTCCTTAGGAATTTTCAGACGCAGCTGTTGTGATCTCACATCAAGTACATTTAATTTATCCTGCATCTGATTCAGTTAATTTGACAGAAGAGAAATATCAACGAAGTCCAGATCATCAAGCTATTTTGTAGGGGTCCACTGAATTCCATTCTTGGTGTTAGTAGTTACTGCCTTCATAATCCAGTATATTGCCAGTAAAAATAGGAAAGAGGACAACAGACATCACTGTTGCACATCTGTTTCTATTTCAAATGTGTCTGTTAGCTTTCCCTTATGAAGAACTTGACATTTGATGTCTTT